CTCTACTAGGAATGTGTATGCAGATGGTCAGCTGCTTTCAAAGTCATGGAAAAGGCATGAAATCTTCATCACAGAAGGTGCCTGTAAAGCTTGGATTTGGGCTCAGGAGTTACAGTGTTAGATCTGGTAAATATGGGCCAGCCAATGCCTGACGGAAAGAATGAACTATCACTGTGATCATTCTGAGATAAGACTGTTAAGGTCTTGTTGAGGGAATTAGTTGGTGGAAGAAATTTCAGGTGTATTTTAGTTGAAACCAACGAGAATGAAACATGATGATCTGGTTGTTTGGAATAAGACACAGAAGATGCATGTTACTTTTATTTTTGTGGGTTTTTAAGTGTATGAATGGTCATGGAAACACTGTTTGGTAATGCATATGTGCAGCATTAGCATAGCTCAGATCCAGTGATCATAGTGAACATTGAATCCACCATAGTGAGCCCAAACTGCACAGGAAATAAACTTTGATCAAGAGAAGTGAATGGGAAAACTGTGGTAGCTCTCACTGACATTCAATACCATCTATTTACTGGTGAATGCATTAATAACAATAATTGTCTCTGGATGTGTACGCACACTCTGTATCCTGAGCAATTAAAAACCATGAGTAGGTATCAAAATGAGACTGGTGAGAAAATGTGAAAGCCTACTTCTCATTCAAAAGTTTTTAAAAAGACTTTTAAGATGAAACAGAAACAGGAATTCATATCTTTTAAATCTTACTTTGTGGTCCACATAGAAGTGTGGGTGTTGAAAAACAGAACAGCAATCATCTGATGAACAGCTGCAATCTATGCTAGCAACCTCACTGAAGCCCATACTGAATTGAAATATTGGAGGCCTTTTTAAACACATAAAAAATCCCTGCGCAGTTTTTTGGATAACTGCTTTATCTGGCAACTTAATCTGTGCATATGATTCAGAATTCACCAGTGATCATCAAAACCCCATCTAACTGGCATCAATGCAGTAACTGTAGTGTCCCTGATTTACACTCTTCTTACAGCATCTGATAAAGTTTTAAATGGGAGGATTTACTTAAGACTGGCCTAATTTCCTTTTACTTTGCTTCTAGATAATTTTTTAAAGTGTGTAAAGGAAAAGCCAGGAAGAATGGATGTTACTGGAAATACTGGATACACAGATTTGTAGTAAAAATCAAGCAATAAAGTGGAGGGCTTCCTGCTCTATGGGGCTTAATTTTAACTTACTAATACAAAAATCCATTGCCCTTCTGTACATACACAAGTAATGTATTTTTGACACTATGTATCCTAAGTATTCCTAAGTTGATTTGTCAGCCAACTTTTATCCCTAACTTACAAAACTACTCATCAAAACCTTCAAGTTTTCCCTTTCTTCCTACAGATAGCTTCATCACAACATAAATATCATAGCTTAAAGAAGGAAAGTATGTGAAATATTCAGCCATTTTCCTTTACCCTTCCAGGAAAAAAAGAAACTGTGTTTAAATTGTCAGAAAAATATCTTCATTCTGCTGCAGTCTTCCATCCTCCAGATGGTAAAAAACCATTATTTTTTTCCTATAATCAGTGAACTTTGAGGAAGCAATAGAAGACCCTGCTGAATTTCCATTTGCAATGACTTCCACTCCCTCATTTCATTTCTCTCCTCCCTATTTAATTTTATAGCCCAGAAAAAACAATACTTACTCTCATGCCTCAATTCCTGATGTGACTTTCATCTTACAGTGGAATCTCTGGCAGGCCTGGTGGTATGAGAAGGAGGATTTGGGGGCAGGAGAGATGCATTCATCAAGCAGACTGCTACGTCAAAGAAAGATGCTGCTGTGGGATGTGTGGCCAAATAGAATATGCTGTTGCTGAGTGCGAGCAGGAGTCTCAGACTTCATATTTAGCATTTTACTGGACTTCAGAATAACACATCTTCTAGTATTTCCACAGGTCATATGGTATGAGGTTTTAAATGTAGCTTACAGGTTTCAGAGCAACAAAATTATTCCTAATTAAAATTAAAATGGCTTTTTTATTGCTTAAGTAAAAAGGAATGTTGTTGACAATTGCAAAGAAGTTAACTTTCAAGCACTGCACTAGACTTCAGCAATTCTTGTATGACATTAAATTTCACGAAGGAGCTGTTCAGCACACGTGGGATTGATACCATTTTAAAGTCACCTGTCATAAAAGAAAATTAAGAGCAACGCATGTCTGTAGGCTCTGAAGACAGGAACTTCTCTCCCTAACCTTGCTAGTGAACTTGATACAGGGCCAGCATGTCAGAATTGTCCATCATGCTGCTCTTGCCTGATCCAGACTTGTGGTGGAACAGTTGGCAAGTCCCAATTATTCACTGCCTCTGTATCACACACCAAAATCCCTAGAAAGCATTGCATTTTGCATTACTAGATAACTATCCAGGGTTGCAGGGTGAATTTGACGTTTACTACAGAATTATAAAGAAAGAATGCCATAATATTGATACAGTCACAACACCACTACTGTAAGGTATAAAAGGTATATATATGTATATTTACCACCACCTAGGTATAAAAGGAAGTATTCGGAACCCCTTCATAGGGACTTGATTAAAAAACTCCCAAGAAACTATGACAGAATTTTTAAGACAAAGTTGTTTGTGAATCAAAATATCTGTCAGTGACGAGTCATATGTTTCCTTTTGTGTTCACAGTTCACCTATTCACCATAACTTCAATTCTTAACTAAAGATCTCTCTCCTTCAGTGCAATTTACCTGTGTGTTAAGACAAGAAGCATTTTCTCTAATAAATAAATGCCGGGAAGGTTGATTTTATTGTATGTATAGCTGGTCACTTGTGGAAAGCATTTTTAACATGCTGCATAGGTTAGTATATTCCTTAAAAATTTAGTAGTCACATCTGCAGTTTGACTGCTTCTTTCTAAAAGACAAACCCAGGCCAAGCAAGACAAAGAATCTGCTGATACACACATGTCACTCCAAGAATTCTCTTGACAAAGTTCCCACACCCAATTTAATTACTTCCCTACTGTAAAAACACTTTCCATCTGCATTTATTGTAATAGTTTCAAATCCAAAACTAACAGACTATAAAGCTAGCTAAATAAATGAATGATATTGGCCTTAGGTCCCAAGCCAGGAGCTATTCTGTAAGGCTGTGTGTCTCCAGCATTCATTTTTATGCTGATGTTTCATTTTATGTGCAGTGTTTTCACTTAAGCCTTGTTTAGAGAAGAATTACCTTGCTCCAGGCTCTGAAGTGTGATGTGCCACACAGAGCCCTCTAGTGCTGCTCCAGCCCAAGGTCTGTCAGAGATTCCCCTCTAAGACCAAAAGTCACATTGCAACCAAAAAATCCCACTTCAGGCTGTATACACAGCACTGCGTATGCTCAGGCTTGGAACGCTAATTTCAACTTTGTCTGATATAACCTCCAACTGAGGCTGCAGAGCTCAAAATGAAAAGTGTTTCTGTTTGAAAACACACTTCAAAAACTGAAACTGCCAGATTAACTATTTGTAACATGGGTTCTCTTGCACATTCAGGAGAAAAAAAGGTATCTTGTTCCTCAGACACAGCATGAAGAATTTAACTATAGCTTGCAAGAAATTTCCAGATGTGCAGAGATAGTAACAGTACATTGCGTTCAGGGTCCTCAGGTGTGTTGCAATTTGTTTTCATCACTCTTTGATGAAATAACATCAGACTGGAATTCATAGATTTTAAAGGCTTGAGATACAATACCCTCATTTGGCAATCACAACACTTAAAACTACACACTTGTATATGAGTGTTATGCTACGCTGGGATTCTCCATGGTGTCAAAATAGTCAGAAGGAATATGACCGTTATAATAAATTTTAATCCAAAGCACAGCAGATAAGTTTTTCACTTAGAAGTTGCGAGTACTGAAGGGCAAAGCAGGTTTCCACTGAAGTCCTGGTCAAAACTGCTACTGACTATGCTGAAAGCATATTTGGACATTGAACTATCTCTTCCCTTTTCAGCTCTAATCAAACTAAATGAAAATACACATTAATAACAGACATGAGCTAATCAAAGAAATTCAGATGGTGCACAGTGCAGCTCAAGGCACAGATGCTGTAATGGCCTTGGATGCTGCAGGTTACCCCCAGAGGATCCTGCTGCAATAATTAAGGACATAGTTAAGATATAGGTAAGGATGTGTTTGGGGGGGCAAACCTTGAATTATTTAACTTTTCTGAGTTTTAGTGACAATGTTAGTGAAATGTCAGGTTTATTTTGTAGCTCTCCCCTCACAACAAAAGCTTCTGAGCTTTCATGACACTGAAATAGTCTTCTATACAGAAGCAAGGCAAAGACAAGGAGCACTCACTAAATATTGAAGAAAACTATCCTCCAGTTTACTAACCACAAGGAAGACACACATCTAAAACAGCTAGCTACTACTTCACTTGCTCAAAATTATCCATATAGGTACATACATGTGTGGAATGTGGAAGTTAAATCCTTTTCCTCATGTACATGATATTGGAAATGACTGTGCTGGAAAGGAATGAAGGGCTTCTTTCCAGCTTATGAACACAGCATGTTTTTCACATGTGAAAACAAAATGAAGTTTTGGTAAGGGCAAATTTTCCCAAATGAATAATTAGTTTTCCACACTGGAAATAAGCTATATTTCCAATAAACTTCAAGACTGAGATATGCAGTAAAGGGAAAACTGAAGAAAGTGAGATCTGTGCATACAGATTTCCCTACACTGTTTAATAGTTGTGAGGGTTTTTTTTAGTTGAATGTGACCATTCAGTGCTATTCCACCATCTAAACTCAACAACCCAGACTCTAGGCTGCATCTTTGACCGGCAAAAGGGGAAAATCCCTTTTCTAGAGTGAAAACCATTACAACTGATCCAACCACTCGTTCTTTGCAAGCTATAACTCCATGGCTCTGGTGCTACAAATCCACGGCCCAGCTCAGCCCCGCTCTCCGCCACCGCACCGCAGTCAGTCGGCGTCGGGCCTCCAGCACCGTACCTGGGATTCTGTGGCTCTGAACCATCGGACTCTGGACACGGCTTCTTCACCTGCAGGAGCAAAGCAGTGCTGGTTACTCTCACTTGAAACACAACTTCCTCTTGCTCCCCCCCCATTACAGCAGAACTTAAAGCGGATCCTGCTCTGCTCACCGGGATCTCTATAAAATATTTCCCGCACTTTACAGCAGCGGTTTGCTGTACTAAACAGTGTGTTTCATTATTATCCCATGAACAGCTGCCAACTGCACTTCCCCAGGCTCCATTAGTGGGTTAAATGTTCAGCTAAAACAGCTTGGGGAGTAGTCTTAACTAGGAACAAAGAAACCAAAGAACCAGGTTCCCCACTTTGAAATGAGAAAGCCATACTGTTCTCAGCTTGGCCAAGAAATGTTTCCCCAATTGATACTGCTTCTGTTTCCTGCTAAAGGTCAAAATAATAAACACCAGGTTCTGGGGCAAAGCGCACCATTAGTTAAATAATTCATATGGTATTTTTAATTTTGTGAATCTGCTAACTGTGTGTTAACTATATTTTCCTTTTGTATCAATGAATACATGCACTGTTTTCACTCATATTTGCAATACATAAGTACATAAAAGGAATTTTAGCTTCCAATTTGATCTCCGTACTACACTGCTGTAGGCTGATTGGAGGTGATAAAATCCATCACTGTCAAAAGAAACTAGAATACTGTTCTCCTGCAGACTAGGTATCTCCTTGGGATCTTCATGATTTCCAGCAAAAATTTAATTGTACCTTCTGGTAATCTAAATTACTTGCATTTTCAGCAGAGGAAAAAACATTTTGCTCACTAGCTCGCTAATTTAAAATCCAGGGCTCTGTGGGAGGTTTCGAAGTTCCAGTTTTAAAGCCACCTAGAAATATCATTCACTGAGGCTCACTTGGTGTGAGAGACACAATAAAGAAACCCACTCCCTTTACAACCAGCAAGTTCAATGACAAGTTTCAGGATACCTTGCATCAAGAAACTCTTCTATACTTTTTTGCTACTTTAAAAATATTTCAGGGGAAAAAAAAAAGTGACTTTGACTCACTTCTATTGAAGTTATTGACAAATGACAGAACACTCACCAGGCCCAACAGAAAAAAGGATTTGACTAATGCTAAATATTATATGTATATATAAGTTACCTCAGCTGAATGCCATGGAACATCACTCACGGAGATGAGCCACTCATAGGGCATGAGACACAGTCAGGGCTCACACAAACCCAAACCTGACAGGCAGTATTTCATAAACATTCAGATGCAAACATCATTGCTATAGTTTTATGTTAACCACATTGTTATTAAAGTAGCATAACATCTGAAGTACAGTAAAATACTTCAGATATATAAGTGTATGACCATCTGCCATGAAAAATGCCTTCAGAGTGCTTTATATACAAACATGAGAAATAGTTATTCAGATTATTGTGTCTCCTGAGTGTGTCAGTGTCAGAGGGAACTGTTCAAAAAATATATTCAAAATCATTTAAAGACACTGCAATTACAACAGCCTCTCCTTGACAGGACGAGTTTAATTTCAGGAGCAGTTTGTCTTAACTGAGTTACAAAGGATTTGACTAGAAAAATAATATTTTCATTTAACATATAAAATATAATTTAAAATTATTGAAAACATAATGTATTTAGAGCTATAAAATACAATAATATAATTAAAATTATTAGAAAAAGAAGTATATGCCTAGTAGCTATATAGCATAAACCCTAGTAGATTTTCTTTTTCCATGTCTCTTTAGCATACTCACTGTCAGCATATTTTTATTATCTCCTTGCTCTTAAACTTACTGGATGTTATACATTCCTTTCCAATTTCTTTTCTGTTCTGTGGTTGCCACCGGTAGCACTGTCCCTCACATTTGCACTGGGGCTCAGATCTCACTCCCCAGGAAAGTTCAACCACTGACTTTAACCAGCTGCTGGAGAGTCTGTCACCCAGACATCCCAACACCCTATGGTGGGCAACTACCACAGCAGCCCAAAGATAGTTCCAGCACACATTAACATAATCCATATTAAGACCCCTGGTTTTCCTTGGCAGGGATGATGCAGTAATTCAGTACTCACAGATGAGTTTTCCTACCATAGTTCACATGACTTCTACATTTTGTTTTGAACAACATTACAAAGCAATCTAAATATCTGAAAGATTATGTTTTATCCATATAAATTAACATTAAACATTAAAAAAAAAAAAAGAACCAAAAAATTACCAACAAAAGCCCCAACTGATAAATTTCGATAAAAGTTGAAAGGTCACAGCAGAAAAGCCACTGATCAATTGTATCAAAAAGACTCACTTCCTGTGCGATGCAACAAACTTAGGGAGGAAAAAAAAGTGAGTATTTTTTATTTAGGAATATTGCAATGAAAGCAAAATGCTTAAAAAGTGAGAGTATTTCAGATTTGTCACTTGGCATATAGATGATGCAGTTCATCCATGAACACCATCTTAAGAAATGTGCAGAAGCACAGAGATTTGGCTTGTCCTCTGAGACTAAATGTAAACTTCATTGTGTATCTTTAGCTCCCTCCACGAGAAAAAAGATTTAATAAATAAAAATGTTATTTCTTAAAGGACGAACAGGCATGGGATTTTCTTTCAAGTGGCCATATGGAATCAACACTATTTCTGTTCAAGGCTACTCAAGTAGCAAAACAAATTCTGTTATTCATAAAATTATGCCACCCTTGAAGGTGAACAGAAAATCACTGTGAAAATGTCTGATCAAAGACTAAATATTGTTTCCTTTGTATTCATCTGCACTGTTTTACCTCTTAATCTGCCTTGCTGACTGTTTTCAAAATAATTAACTTTCACTAACACCACATTTATTTACATTCTCATGTGTTAAATGCTATAAAAAGAACCTTTTTCTTTACTCTTGCTGTTTTCCTTTTCCCCCTCTCTGTTTACACAGGTTTTCTCACCATTTTAGTTAAATGCATGTTGAGAATCATTCACAAGAGTAAGATTCCAGTTTCAGTTTGAATTCTGTTGAACTGCACTGAACTTTCCTACTCTGGTTGCCTGCTACAAAATGTTTGTAAAGTTTCAGCTAAAACCCTTCAAATACAAGTATTTGTGAAAACAGACTGCTGTGTTCATGTTTTGAATGTCACATCATTATGCTGCTGATTGGCTTCAGCACCTGAAAGTTGGAGGCAAAATCCCAAAACTGAAAGGGCAGGGGGAGAGTTACCAATACCCAGAAATGATAATTTCTGTGAAAATTTATTTCAGTTTGTATGATTCTAAAAGGCCTGTTGTCACATTATTGGTGAACTCCTGCTGCAGTGTGGCTCCTCAATTTCTGAAGACTCTATCTGCATTGAATACTCTCCATCTCAAAGATGCTGGTGCTGAACAAGCCTTAGGATTACTTCAGAGTGCCAGGAGAACCCCATGCTGTCGGGAAATTTGACAAACTCTCACAAACTCTCCCTCTTTGCTTAGCTCTACCCCCACTGTGCAGTGCCCTGGGTATAGGGTGCCCAGGCAGTACCCTGAAAGAAAAAAAACCCTGTGGACTCAAATGAAGAGAAGAAAAACAGGGAAAGAAAACCCAGAAAACCAAACAGGGAGAGGGAACAGAAATCAGGGCACAAAAGAAGAATGGGGTCTCCATGGTGGCAAAACTAGAGGAGAGCAGAAGCCAAGTGAAAAAAAACCGTGACAGATGTAGAGGTGTGGTGTGGACAGCAGAAGAACACTGGGATTGGCTGAGATGGAACACCACAGTCTGCTCTCCTCTCTTCTAGATTTGGGCCTAACACTACAAATACAAGCCTAAGCACTCATCAGATACCTGTGAAACGCATTACAAAAGTCATGAGAGACCAGTCTGCCCAGAGCAATGGACTAGTTCTGCTACTCCAACTGTACAGAAGACCTAATTAATGATCCAAGCTGGGAAAATATACTTTGAACTTAGATGATTGTGTATAAATGTTACTTTTATGTAGAAAAATGAAAGTCTCACTTGGCTTAAACTTTTATTAAAAATCAAAGTTTTATTAAAAATCAAAGTTGTATACAATTTCTACCTTCACCTGATTTGGTTCATCAGAATTCAAATATGAGCACAGTTAAAAGTGTCTGATAATCTGAGGTCACTGTGAAAAAGATATGCTTTTATTAGGCAGCAAAAAACTGCAATAAAGGTATATGATAAATATTTACATGATGAAGGATTTCCTATTAATTGGGCTTTGGATACTTCGTGTTTAACAAAGATAGAGTGAGGAACATTAAAAGAAAAATCTAACTATGCATTCACTAGAAAAAAGACACCCCCTGGAAAGCCTAGGATGTCAGGTAATAAGATCTGCACCATAATGTGCAAGAAGCTGAATTTCCACAGGCCATATTAATTCTGGCATTTCCTTGCTTCTGATGTTTTTCTTTGCAACATTAACATCTTTTAACATGATTTTATTGGACCCCATTACACTAAATGTTAAACCATGAAACGGTCCTCCTCTATGAGGTGTTCTCTCTCTCTCTCACACACACACACACACACACACTGGTGGTATTAAACTCGTAATACAACACAGGTGAGAAATCCCTTCTAACACTTACAGCTGAAAAATCTTGCCACATCAGCACTAAATTATTCTGGCAATGAATTTGCTGAGTTCCCTCATCTACTGCAGCAGTTATGGCCTTGAAGGTCCCTCCTAAATCAGTAGGGCTGTAACAGGGCTGAGTAGAGCCTGCAATACTTTGGGAGGAAGCAGCTATGCATGGTGGAGTCGTGGAGATTCTAACATGAAGGAGACAAGAATGAAGAAAAGTACGTTTTGCAGACCCAAGGACAACCTCAAATCACATCTTTGTGCTTCCTCAGCCTGTGTGATTGCTCTGGAGTATGGGCAGAGCAAGTGCACTTCGACTGCCTGGATGGTTCCCTACAGCAAATTACTCTGGAGGGAGTTGACCCATCTCTGCTCGCTGTCCAGGGAAGGGGCTATGTCTGTAGAACAACTCCAGGAGAGGATGGCACAGGCAGGGGAACAA